TTTAAATCGATGAAAAGTTTGTTGATTTTGTGTTTTACTTTTTGGATTACGAACGGGGGTGAAAGCAAAGCCTTTGAAGCAACCAAAGGTTGACAAGAAATAGTATGACAAGGTATTGATTTACTACAAAGAACATTCCATTTGGAGTAGTTATGAAGCTTTTTTCTGATTAATTAATTTGAATATATAATCATCATCTATCGAGGAAAATAACAGCCTATAGGTTTGATGAATTTCGATTGATTGTTTCTTAATCATTTTTTATTTCCTTTCTTCTTTGTTAATAACGAGTTTTATGAAATTACCATGTATTAGAATCCTGGATCATAAATAAAGAAGGCATGCTTTGTACGTTATTTATACTGCGACAAAACTTGTATTTAGATATATATTTTCCTACACATATTATAATTTTTTTGATTAATTAAATTTGAAAAGAATTATCATTTTCTTTATGGAAAATAAGAAGATTCAGGCTTTGTAAATTTTGACTTATTATTTCTTCAACTATCTGTTTTCTTTATTCTTTTTGGTGGTATTAGCAATTTATTTTCTTTCCCATGAATATTTTCTTTTAAGTCGCTTAGTTGAGCTGATATTACTTTTTTTGATTTATGGATCTTAGTGGCTGCCCAATATGTGGTGTTTGGTGTTTGAATAATTAAGTGGCAATAGAATTGAAATTGAAATTACTTAACCTTGAATCTTAAAGATCAAGGCAACGATTGCTAATATATTCTAGAGTTAACGTTTAGCTTTCAACACTCTTTTTTGATTTGTTGCTAATTCGTTTTGTCTACTGGAATATTTAACTTAAACTAGAATTTTAACAACTTAGATACATAACATCATTAGTAGATACTTGACGATGAAGCGTGTATAGATTCATACTTTGATTGTCAATCTACACAACTCTTGTTTATTCATAAGCATAGTTTAGGTAACCATGCATATATCTGGCCATTATAGTTGAGTTGCATAACATAATTTATTACCGTTTTCATATTGGTATAGTTTCTTAAACGATCATTTGACTGCTTGTAAGCTTCGATGCTTCTAAGTTGTTAACTATGATTCCACTCTGTCCACAACTTTCGAGAAACAAAAAGAATAAAAACTAATTTTGTTCGTTTAGTTTGTTGTGATCATATTTAACTCAATCTTGATGAGGCAAGTCTATGAACATTCATGATAATACCTTGTTTTCAGAAATCCTGGTGTATTGGGATGGCATATTGCTGTTTAAAGTTTCTTATCTAAATTTCTTCTCTCTCTTATAATTTGAAACACGTCGACCATATTCTAGGATGACAAGGCTTATCTTTAGAAGAAAGAAGAGAAGGAGGTGGGAGTTTTTTTTTCTAGCATCTACACCTGATCTTTTTTTGCATTTTAGTTATATTTATTTTGATTTTATCCCCAGACGTTAGTTAGTTATATCTATTGTGATTGTTTGTTGGTTTGATAGGCTCTGAAGGATCTTAAAGCAGATGCTACTTGGAGGTGCAGGGCTGAATAAAAGTGAAAAGAAACGAAACTTATGAACAAGAAGAAACAAAAAATTCCTCTGTGGTCAATTGTATCACAATATTACTATTTTGTTTAAACAATTTTAGCACGATGTTCTTGCTTATGCTAAACTATCAAGCAACCTTCTATGAAATTCTTGTGTGTGAGAGAGAGACTGCGAGTTAAAGCATATGGGGTGTTGACAGTGATGAATTTGATGAATAGCCCATAAAGCATCTAAGCGGGTGCTGGACACTATATTTGAGCGCCAAGAGCTACTTGATCAACTCATGGGATTCATGAATGAGAACGTGAACCTCATAAATTCTTGTACAGAGATGCCGTGATGAACTCCACCACAACATCATGGTCAAATTCTAATCTCGAGAAAGAACAGTTTTGTTGGAATATGCCCACCATATCCAATGCAGTAGCTATCCTTTTGGGTTGTTTAATTTGATTGAATCTTCTTGAATGATGGGTTTAATCTATGAGCAAGCTTGATTTGTTTAAAATTTTATTTTTGAAAATTGGTATGCAATTTGTGAAGTGAATATTATACTGTTTTGTTTCTTAATAGAATCCCAGTGTTGTTTTGTGGATATGATGTATTATTATTTTATCAAGTCAATACGATGAGTTTATTCTTAAACATGTTGCCTAACAAATTGAATGTTAAATAGATTGATAGAAATTGCTCACAGTCAAAGTAAACGGGAGTAGTTTTCAATTTCTTTTGCATAATAGTCTGATGACTTAATTGTATTGTAGATTTCGAAATCATCAAATTTAATTCTACATGTTTCCAACTCAAGTGCCGGTCCTTTTAGGAGTAGACCACTATTTTGAAAGAACATCCAAGCAAACAATTGATATTTTGAACAGAAGAGGTAAGGGTCTGGAGAACCAACTCGAATCTCTAAAGGCTATGATACAGGATTTCAAGGCAGAAGGTTTTTTTTTTTTTTTTTGGTCACTACAGCTTCCAAGGCAGTGGTAAGCTTCTTGTTTTTTGGGAGTTGTTATTGATTTTTCACTCTTCCACTTAAAAGAGAGTGAGTTTTTCATTTTTCATTGTTGTCATAGTGGTTTTAACATTTTAACTGACTTAGAACCTGTTTGGTATTTTTTTTTTCTCCACTCTTAAAATCACTCTTTCTCTTAAAGTACTAAATGGGTAGAGTTTGATTTATAAATTTATTTTTGCATATCTGAAGTAGTGGGCATGAGTTGTATTTATGGTACTTATAAGTGTTGGTGGACAAGTGTCAGCCTCTGAAATGCTGAACAATTTTGTTCCTTGATATTTGGATCATACATGGCATTAAGTTGGTGTTGGACACACAAAGGTTACAGGTCATGTCATTACGTTCGATTAGTACACCCTGCTTGGGTGTCATCTGAAGTGTTACTTCGAGAACATTAACATTCGTTCTTAGAATTATTATTATTAGAAAAGAAGGCATTACATGAACGCATTATATTTCTTATTAACTCCTCGGATTAAGAATTTCTCTTGGTATTCATTTTTATGGCAAAAAAGTGGCTTTACAACAGGCACAGAAGCTTTTGGATGACATATTAGAGAGGACAATTGAAGTAGTGAGGCATACACATCAACCTATATCAGAGAAAGATCCCACAATGATTGAAGGGGATTACACTGTTTAAACATGCTCCCCGATGAATATTGTTTGATCACTTGGGTAAGAAGATTTCATCAATCATTCTGCTTGTTTTACTTGGACTGAGGAAGAACCTTTGGTGCCTGTCCTTTTATGTATTTGCCAAAGTCCTTAACAGGTCAGATTGCTTATCTATTTATTTTGCTGAATATTCTTGGATCGATCACTTGTATCAAGAGCTGAACCTAATTAAGTATTAATCTGGCTTGTGGATAAATGGATTCTTTGTTGTTCTTTTTCCTAAATGTTTTTGTTCCTGTGATCCCATAGTTTTACTTTGATAACAGATGAATTTTAAGGGCTAAAAAAGAAGACAAGAATTCTTTTGGGGGAAGAGGACGAGGAAAAATAAAAAATGCTTTGCATGCACTTATCTCCGACGCCGCAGTTTATTGATTAATCATCTCGCCTCTGTATGACGTTTAGTTTCAACATTTTCCTTTTCTATTTCGGAGGGAGAGATGGCTGCCTTCTATTGTAAACTAGTTTTTTTGAGGTGTGTGAAAAGGTTTCAACTAATCTTTAATCATCAAAATGTAGTTGAAAGCTGGAAATGGAGATAATATATATATTTGAAATGAGAAGTAGATGCAGCTGGTGTCCCAGCTATTTGAGGATAGTGTTGGTGTTTTGGAAGGTAGAGAGCATAGAACAGTGAAGAAAGGAGGGGGCAGTGGTTTGGAGTTGAGATGTAGATGGAATTGATGGGTTGAAGGTTGTGGAGCTTGTTGTGGATTGATGGTGTGTTTTGCGGGTAGGGAAAAAATGGTGGTAGTGTGTGTTAGCTATGGCTTGAAGGGCCTGTTGGCTTATTTGGATCGCTCAGTTGGGTTTGGTTTTGGTTTAAGAAACAGATAAAATTGTAAAAGATGCAGCCGGAGTTTAGTATAGGAGTCATCTCAGCCTTGCAATTTTATTACGATCTTTGACAAATTTTCCGGTTAACATTTAGATTCCTTTGCTTTACCAGAAAATGAAACGTTCATTTCATTTTGGGGGACTGCAAATGGTGATTTGGTACATCATGCTGAGTGCATGCAATAACTAGAGCAAGTTAGGCATCATAAGCTAAACATTGACGGCAATGTTTGCACTATGATGGTAATAGTTTTGCTTCTTGAGTTTATCTTCTCATAAATTTTTTGGAATTGTGGTACATATGGGAATGATAATATTCATGTAAATAAAATTTTTTGTTCAGTCATGAGGTTAGTTCTCAAATACCGCTAAAAAATCCCTACATAGCAGAGAATATTAGTAGTTATGTTGCATTTTCATTTTCATGTTTACTTATTTCAGCTAATAAAACAGCTCGCATATGGAAATTTGACCATGATAAATGCCAAAAATTGATCCACATAATAACTACGGTTACGCTTCTAATGATTACGTTGCTTTACTTAAAGCATGCCTAGCTAAGTTTAAAAAAAAAAAGGATTCTGCCAAACATGCTTAGATATGTTAGTTTTTTTTTGCTTCTATGTTAAAGAAGTTACTTATTTAGTTATAAGTAAATGTTTTTAGCTTAACACAATCGTTATGGGCTTTTTGTATTAATGAAAGACTCTACAAAGTATTTGTGTTTTACATATTCGTTGTTTAGATTCAAATTTAGTTATAAGTTGATGTTTATCCATTTGTAGCTATATGACCATCAGCATCACATAGGCCTTCTCATTCTACAAAAGAAGGAATGCGATCGAAATGAACCACCTCAAAGTGCTGCCGAATTTGTTAAATTGAAGTTTGAGCTCGAACAAACTATTCATGCATCTCATTTGACAGAAGCCCGGACGTGAAAGATAGCATGAAAAAGGCCACTGAAATTCAGAAAAAATGTGTTCAAAATGTATTCTTTTGTGAGGTTCTCTTTCATTTTTATGATGTCTATGATCCTTGTCATAGTTTCTAATATGGTCAACTTGTAAGATTGAAATTCATTGCACGAGGAAATGAACGGGATTTTGACCCTCACCTATATAATACACGTGTATGAAAATTTTGTAATACAATCTCCCGTCAATTCTTAACGTTCAAGACACTAACAATGCCTTTAAAATCACGCAACCCGTGCATTGAACGAGCTGAAAACTAGTCTCTCTTAAAAGAGAGACTTTTATGTTTAGTGTTCATTTATGTCACAACTCTTTTCACACCCTGTTCATTAAATTGGTTCTTGTACAGTTCACAATTTGTGTTATAACTTTTACTAGGGCTCAAACACTCACCACTCTTGACCACCAAAGAAAATCATCGTTTTGAAAACTCTCTCCTCTCTCGACAAGAAACCTTGTCGCTGCCACCTACGTCGCCTGGCCATCCGACCCTGACACCTCATAGATCCATTCAATTTTATGTACCCCGTAAGATCTATTTGTTTACGTATATAAGTATTTACATGAATTTTCTTCATTTCTATTTCTTGTATTATTGTAGTAATTATAGAAAAAATCGTGTACTCATGGGTTTTTACCATAAGAAACCTAGGAATCAGAATTTTTAGTTTCTCAATTTGCTGGAAAGGTCAAAAAAGAATATATTTTTAAAAGCAACCATTTGGTTTTAGTTTAGGGGCTTAGTTATAGTTGATTAATATATATTTTTGGACATTATAATGGGGTTTCTCTGATTTCAACTTCCTTTTGGTACTTATGGTCCGAATTTTTTTATTTTATTATTTAAGTTTTATTTCCAAGTTATTTTAAGGAAGCTAATAGTAATGATATTTTTCTCTCTTCTTGGGTTTTATATGTACTTTGGACACTTCTATGGTTTATGACACATTTTAGGCTTTTTCTGCAGTTCAAACATTTTATGATAGAATGAGTTCCCGAAAGAATGCACATTTTCACAATGACAGAGAAGAGGAAGAGGCGAAGGAAAAAATCATCATTTTAAACTAAGAAAAAATAATTTAAATACCTCTTCCCCCTCCATGACACTATTTCACGTTATATTTAGCTCCCGTTTGACCCCATTACCTGAAAATGAAAATTGGGGGAATAATATTTTTTAGAAAAATGAGTGATTGAAAAAGAAGGAAAAGTTTTCGATTTATGTGTAATATTATTTTATGGAAAATTGTGTGGTTGAAAATAAAAGAGAGAAGAATGAAATATAATGTAATTGAATTTAATGGGATGAAATGGGAGCTAATCTTTTTATGTTATCAAAGAGTGGAGGACAAAACAGCTAGACTATATCAAGAGCTTGTAGAATCATTTCAAGCTGATGGTACGCCATGTTCCAATACCTTTGTCAAAAGCCGAACCATCAATCCAAATGAGAGGCTGAAGAGTGACTCTGAAGGTCAATTGCGAATGACTAAAAATTATATAAGTTATTTACACGGAAATTTTTTGAAAGAACTCAATATTTATTTTAGTTTTATTTTTTGATGTAATGTGGATAAATGAATGGGTTCTTCATTTTTATGTGGACTCATGAATAAAATTATGGGCCTTCTCTATCATTTACCGGTGGCAGGTGGAAAGTCCAAAGGTAAGGGTTTCGGTTTAAATGGGATTAGGTAACGAATACTTTTGATCAGCTCTTTCATATTGCTTGTATGGTTAGGCATTTTGCTTATGATAATCAAGCGGTGCTGATCTTCTCAAATATAGTCACTATGAGAATTGAGAATAAAGGTTTTGAAATATTGAAACAATATGACCGCAATAGAAGAATAACTTTTTGGGATGAATTTTTTGGGATGAATTTTAATAGAAGTGTCATGAACGCAGAAACGATTTTCTATGGAATTTTTCTTATAAAAATTACTTATTAACATAGTCAGGAGCAAAATGCAGTTCTAAGTTGGCAAGTTCTAATTTTGGCTACCATAGTCAATTCTTAGTAGTTGTCATATTGTGCAAATGTTTTGCTCTGATGAGAATAGGATATCAATGAATACAGCATCAAGACAGATTATCAACATTAAAATAGATGGTTAAGGATTTCCAGCAATTAACAGTATAATTGTCTAAGATTGTTTTGCGTATCCAAAATTTGTGTGATTTGATGTTTTAGATGGTCGGGCCAAAATTTTAAGAATGTGATACAAACTGTGTGAATGGCATTAGACGTTGCTCTTCAAGTATATGTTTAGCAAGAATATTGGGGATTGATATCGAGTAGAGAAAATATTTTGCAATATCCATAAAATTCAGAAAATAGTGAAGTATTTGTCATATGTGTACGTGATGGTTTTAGTTGGACTCATGAAGTATAAATGGATCAATTAATATAGATTAAATGAAATATGAATTTGAGGTTTCTAATCACTTAATTAGTTTGTTTATGCAACTGCTTCGATGAATGTTGAAGTGATTTGGTGGGAATTATAGTTTATTCATGTTGGAGTTCTTGGTTAAATTGTTGTAGGACATATGAAATCCACGAGATAGTTGTTGTTAGGTATGATCTTGAATATAGAGTAGCCCTTTTTAGTGAGTTTGAATTTTTTTCTTCATTGTATACGATCAGCCTTAAAGTCAAGCTTGTAGATGAATATAATTGGGACAAGCTAGATAATTAAGTAGCCATTCTTGCAAATTTATTGTTAAAAATGTGTATGGATACACATGAAGGATAAGTGAGTAACAATTTAAATATTCCATGAATGTTTCACAAAGCTTTTACGTGCTTATAAGTTGGTGAAACATCATTTTTCAACCACATATTTTTTAGAACTTTTTATCTACTTTTAAACATGGCTTTTAAGTGCTTATGGTTGTCATTGCATTCAAAGGGAAAAAAATCATCTTCTACTATTTAATTCAATTGCGTTGGAGATCTGAATTCTGATTGCCCATAGCTCTCACTGGTTTTTGCTTGATTTACTTGCTTGCTCACTCTGGGATGATGTAATGTAACCAAATCAAACATTGATTTTCTTCTTGAGGTGTTTCCTTTGGGGTTTTTCTCATTGTCATTTGGAGGCTTTTTTGTTATCTCTGCACTGCCTGAAGCCTAGACTAGGACCCTTTGGTAGACTCGCATCATCTGATGATAAAATAGAAATTGGTTCCTAGCTGACCAGAGCTTTTTGTTTGAGCATTTATCATTTTGGTTTTCAATTTTAGGAAGTGTCTGTCTTTAATGGCTAATTGTAGCCATATTTACACGACATTAGAAATATATTTTATTTTTTCCAGGATGTTAAACATTTGCAAATGTTTACTACTTCATCTGAATTAGTTCATGTATTCGGATTTATATCGTCCAAACTTTTGTGGTAATGTATTTTTTTTTTTCTTCTAGATTATGATCAAGTTTAGGACAAAACAAAGAGGTGTTAAGGTATTAGATGCTATTAACATTTCTGTCAGTTGCACAACGAATAATTTGAAATTCGCCATGTAATATTTCTCTTTTTCTACTAAATCTATCTTCATTACTGAGAGAAATGAATTAAAGGTTGACATAGTTACTGACGATGTCCACACCAAACCCAACCCTAAGGTAATCATCTATCCTTAACATGCACAAATGTATGTATGTGTACAAAAGACTTTGCTGGTGGTCATAGTGCAGTGGCCGATGGGATGACAGTGGTTTGGAGTTGGGATGGAGGTCAAATTGACTGGTCGAAGGTGGAGCCGATGATATTGGTTATTGTGGGTCGACCAAAAGATAGTCAAGAGTTCAGCCTTCTTCATAGTAGTTCTGCTCCACCCAAAGTGGGGGATCCTGAAGCACTAGCCCATTCGACGTCGATGGAGGAGTTGAGGTAATTCTCTCTCAACGTAACTGAAGGGATTTTTTTAATTTTACCCTTTTTTGTTAGATGTCAAGCAATTTAAAATTTATGGGTTCTTCAATTTGTGTCCCATAAAATATTTTTTAAGCTTTTAGCAAGTTAATAATGAAGAGCACATTCACTCGTATTATGTTTGAATAGCAATTACAGAGGACCGTCATCACTATAATTTTCGCTTTGCTCATATCTAAGGGCCAAAATCATTGCCTATGAATAGGTAATGATTAAGTTCGGAAGTGATTGGAGAGAGTTATTTAGTTTAAGGTGGTGGTCCTTTTTCAAATGTAATAGCTATCTGGGAAAGGTGGGGATAGGTGGAATTAGCTAACCGTAGTGGGTTAGTCCATATTCTATTTAGTAGAGGTGGAGATCTTGGTCAAGACTAAGTAAATGTAAATCGTAGTTAAGATGAGATAGCAGCAGTTTCATTCTAGGTAAGGAATATGGCTTCAGTTTTGGGATAGATGCCAGGGAAGGAGTCCGATTCTTTAACTGTTAACTTGGGGTGTAAGGTGGATGGTATTAATTGGTTTTACCAAGTTTCAAAGCATGTCTGGCCTTGAGTTATAAGAAGGAAGGTAGAGGACCATTACTTGGATATTTGAAAGTTAGTTACCATCCTTCATGAGGATCAATAGAAGGCGTTGATCATTGAAAAGTGACCAAGAAGGTTTGAATTAGTTGATAGATGGCAGAGGATACTTCCGCCTACACTCTATACAACTAAACTAATGAGAAAGGGAAAAATGAGGGAAGTCAAGAAAATCACGAGTTTTTTATGGATTAATTCAGCGACTAAGTTATGTCTGCAAGGGAGAGAGAGAGTCTTCACAATTCTTTCTTTTTTCCCTTCTTGGGGGATGCACAAGGGTTAGTCAATTATTGGCGCAAATTTTTTTCTGTAATCATAAGCACTAAATGCATGCCTCTTATTCAATGCTCATATGTAATTTATTCTCATTTGTGTATTTTTTTTAAAAAAAATTATGATTTTTTGAGATGTTATTTTAATTATTTTGTTAAATTGATTCTCATTATTGCACTATTTCTTTTTCAAGATCTGTCCAAATAGAGTTCGTGGTATAAGTATGCTGCTCCTAATTAAAGGTTTTATTGCTTTTTGTATTTGCAAGAACTTTATTCGCTCTATTAGAACTTTGCTGCAAAAAAGTTAGGTTTAATCTTTCTTTTTACGTGTTTAAAGCATGGTCCTTAAATAAGAAGAAAGATTCCGTGTAATTGCATCAGTTCTGTCATAAGAATATCTCGCTCTTTTGATCGTAGGTATGTCTCATTCTCTCATCTAAATAACATTTATTTGCTAAATTTCATTTTCGGAAGTGATTTTACTTGGAAGCTTTTAGATTGCTAATAGTTGGAGGAATTTGTAATAGTTGCACAAGTAGTTTGGTGTCTTTATGATGTAGATCGAATCTACAAACACGCGATGATAGTAATTGAAACAGATTGAACTCAAGAAAACCAACATTTTTCTTATTTCATGAACAATCAAAAACCTAAGAGACATTTTCAAAACCTTAAATATAAAAAGAACAAATGACCTACTAGGCCAGCAGTTCCTCAATGGGCTGGGCTATAAAGCGAAAATAACAAATACTCCAGTCGCTTCCTCAGATTCTGGATCCCTCTCTCAGGTTCGTCGATCCTCTCAAGTTTCTTATCCTGTTGAAGGATTTTGATCTTATCTTATATATCGTTTTCCCCAAAAGATCGAGCTTACCTCATGTCAGTTCAATCTTCTCATGAACCATTTGTTCTTGGACGATGAACAAAACTTTGATAGACCAGAGGTGCAATGAAAATAATAAACTAAGAAACTTTAAATACTATTTTGACCCAGTAAACGAATTCAAACGGTCAAAATCCATCGTATGTCACAGCAAAGTTGTGAGTTCATCCAGAATTCTCACAAACTTTTCGAAATGGGTTATGGGCCCAAAACGAACAACATATGAGAAAATTATGCCAATTTCTTCAAACGCTGATCATTGAAGTGTTCCATATACTCAAGTGCATGTTCCTCCATACGAACCTCATCACTTTAATTTCTAATTGGAAGGCTCTATTTTTTTCACGTCATCATTTTTAGAGGATCATACATTTTTATTTTTATTTTGTTTTAAGCCAAGTTTGCTCTTTTCTAGCAGCAAATTTATTTATTTATTTATAGTATAAAGTGCAGGATATGCATGGAGCTAGGTATTCAACGATTTAGTATTAGTTATTGATTTTCATGCTGTTGTGTGGACAAGTGAAGCAAACAAGCTTTTTACACTTCCTTTTCACCATTCCCTGGCATTATGTTATCCAAACAACTTCTAATGCTAAATATCTTTTTCAGCTTCTTTTAGGATAACATGATGGTTTGATGGCAACACAAGAAAACATGTGGTAAGGCCACTTTTATGCTGTTGATGCAATGAAGATTTCTTATTTACGGTTTTGCCTTTTCTTGGAGTGCAAACTCAAAGCAAGCATGTCGTCTTGGATGGACCTTAACTTTATTTGATTCAATTGAATTTGGAAATGTAATCCTTTTACTAGAATAAAACACCATTTCAATAAAAGGAAATTAAAAAGTAGATATTCAATTGCACTCAATCCAAATGAGAAAGAGGCATAACTGAAGTTAACACGTTGGATACTGGTTTATGATATAATTGTTAAGTCATAAGTAACTGTATGATATTTTTTTATTCATTAACACATCCATTCTCAAATTATATAATCTTGTGAGAATATTTCTTTTTGAGTGTTGATTTATAAATGATGTGAATTCGTATGTTTGTTTTCTTATGTATATTTATACATGTGGTGCGTGTGTGTTATCTTTGTTTCTCATTTCATTTTTCTATAGGTGTGAGGATCTGTATATTGTTTTTCATTATGGAGTAATAATACGAGAGTTTATACAGCATCGAATTGTTGCAAGGTACGAATTCATGATAAAAATGATGAGAAATTCTTATTCATACCTTAATATCCTAATTTTACTAGAATGTTTTTCTTGATAATGATGTCCGATTTAAATACTCACTACATGATGAGAAGTTGAAAGCTCTTCTACACGTAGAGGTTAAATATTTTGTTTGGTGCTTTTAAAATTTTGGAGCCTAGAAGATGAGGCCAAAAACGTGTGACGGGTTGGTAAAGTTTCTTTGGAAAATCTTTGGCAGAGAGATAGATATAGACACAGACACGACAGGCAGAGAGATAGATACAGATATCATTCCCCTTCTATTAGTGTAAAAATTGTGTCAAGTGGGAAATTGATTGGGACTAGGTTCTAAAGTTCATTTCTCATAGAATATTGTAGGGCGCATTGTAGGCCACAGCTCGAAAACGCTGTCTCTTGGTAAATATTTCTCATACTAATTGCCTAGCATTGCTTATTATCAATAATCTTGTAGATGAAATTTGTATTTCAATGTGTTTCTCACAGATGCTATAGACTGTTTACTGGTAGAACTAAGAACCTCATTCAGGTTGATGGCTGTGTTTTGCCAACCCAAAAGGTACGTTTCCAAGAAATATTTTTCTTGATTGATGTATCTACAAATTAGTTCTATTGTAATCTGGTTTTCTTGAGATGGGTGAAAATGCTTCAATTAATTTTTAAATTATGACTGCAGTTGAAAGCTAGAAATCGAGATAATATATATGTTGAAATCAAAGATAGATGCAGCTTATATTTCTGAATGAATGGAATTAGCTACTGTATGGATGCAATTTCTTTCTCGCGAGGTTTCTTAAACAAATTCGTTCTTGCAGCTCAAGATTCATGGGTTTGTGAAATAATCTTCAATTTACTTCATTCAGTCTTCTTTTTCTTCTTAACATGTATTTTGTCTGAAGTGTTTAGCGAAAGAAACCCTTACGATAGGATTCCAAGAGATCAACTACTTTCCATTGAAGGGCGTCTACCGAAGTAGTCTATAGTTTTGTGACATTTTAAAACCCACCGGACAACCTCTATCTGATGCTGCTAGGCTTTCAGTGGGATTGTGTCAAATCTAAACAAAGAGGCGTGTGAAAACTATTTCTCTGGCTTTTTGTTTCTAGGTCTAAATTTTTACATAATTGACTCGATCTATTTGCATTCATTTGTGGGCAGACTACATTTTATATTTTATTACTTTTTTCTTTTACATACATCTACGAGAAACCAGCGCCTTCAGCACACTAAAATTGCCTTCAAAACAATCCATCTTGTGCATTGCATGGGTAAGGATTAGTTCTAGTAAAAGAAGCACATATGGTGGACATGTAATTTTCTAATGAGATATTTTGGTCTTTCATCAATATAGATGTCTCAATGGGGAAAAAAAAGAAAGAAAAAAGAACTGACAACAATCCAATAAAAAGGAAAAATAAAAAATAAAAGTAAAGCTCTCAATACCCCCGATGCTAGACCTACTATATTCAGTCATTCCCTTTATTTCAACATGACTTTCGTGAACCAAGAGTTGATAATTGGGGGACGCTAGTAGGTGGTTGCTGAAATGGGAGAGTTTGGGTGGGGGTGCTCGAGTGGAAATAACTAACGAATTATCTAATTGAGATTTTAAGAGCTTATATACGATAGCTTATATACGAATATTTTATTAACACACATATGTAGTAGATCCAATACAACTTACGTTAGAATACAATTATATACAATGGTAAAATAATAGTATCTAACTTCTAAGCATTGCAAAAGTTAGATAATAGACAATATCGCACAAGCTAAAAATTAACAAATTTGTGATATGCTTCTCTGAGATGGATTTTGTAGGTGGCTATCTTTACATAAAATAAATCCGTTATGCGATTCCACGACTTGAAAAATGCAATCCTCCACGAGTGATTGAGAAGGAAAGTTCCACATACCCCCCAAAATCCAAAAACGAACCCAACTGCCATACTAATGTAAAATCCATCATTGATTAGATTATCCTCCTCCTGGTTTTTCATCCCTTCAACGTTATGACCGATCTTTGGAACTGGAGCAATTTCGTCTTCCGGACAAGCTTTTGTAAGTGGAAGGTCACAAAGTCCAGGGTTTCCCTCAAATGCAGAAGTATTGAAAGTTCGCAAATGAATGCTTTGTGGAATTTTGCCTGACAAGTTGTTGTATGACAAATCTAACACTCCAAGTTGATCCAATTGAGAAACACCAGTAGGAATACCTCCAGAGAAGTGGTTTCTTGAAAAATCAAGAAAATCCAAAGACCTTAATCGTTCAATATTTGGAGGAAGGAATCCAGATAGGTTGTTTCTTGAAAGGTTCAATCCAACTAGCATTACAAGACTAGTAATTTCCGCAGGAACGTGACCTACTAAATTGTTGCTTGAAAGATCAATGAGTTTCACCAGATTAAGAGTATTTATGTACTGGGCATCCTTTCCTTTCCATGTTACAAATGCACTCTGAAATCCTCCTCTGTGTTGAAGTAGAAATGCCCTATCAAACTTAGAATCCACTTGAATCATAGCGGTGAGGTTGTTTAAGCATTTTGGTATACCACCAGAAATCTTGTTTAAAGAGAGGTCCAACACTTGTAAGTCTGTAAGACGACACAAATTGGAAGGAATACTGCCAAAGAACTCATTGGACTTGAGACTCAGAAAGACCAAATAAGTCCAAGTATCTCCCACCCATGTAGGTATATTACCAGTCAACTTATTTGGGGAAAGATCAATAAAAGTCAAGAAAGTACAATTCCTCAACGATGTTGGAATTTCTCCAATGAAACTGTTGTTTTGTAAGTGCAATGATGAGGTGACATTTAGTGAAGGGATCTTTCCAGAAAAATTATTATGCGCCAGATTAAGATAATCCAGATTTTGCAGGTTTCCAAAACAATCTGGAAGCTGTCCAGAGAGTAAGTTATTCGAGAGGTCAAGATATCCCCAATAATAATTAGTTTCATTGCATAAATTGGCAATTGACCCAGAAAATTTATTACTCGATAAATCCACTACAGATCCGTTCGGAGGGAAAATTGGTAATGAACCATTAAAATGATTAAAGCTCAGATCTATAGAATAGAAAAGGGTGAACTTCGACAAAAAATCAGGAAGGACACTGTGAAAATTGTTATATGATACATTTAAATATGATAATTTTGGACTTGACTCCCAAAACCAATCAGGGAAGGTGTCTGAAATTTCAGCATTAGAGATATCAAGAGCCTTTAATCTCGTTTGTGTTCTAATCCATGTGGGGAAATGTGGACCCACTTTGCAACCTGCTAAATTTACATATGTCAGTTGAACAGGAGGATTCCATCCTAAACTGATATTAAACGAGATACCTGGGTTGGAAGACAAGTGCAACGATTGTAATTGGGAAAGATTAAAGAAATGGGATTCAGTGATTATGCCTTCGAAGTTGTTTAAACTAAGGTCCAAAGATTCGAGTTTAGAAAGACTTCCTATGCATTGGGGAATGGTTCCATTAAACATGTTATCAGAAAGATCTAAGCCTATTAATGAGGAAGATAATGCAGGACAAGGCACTTCCCCTGTGAGTTGGTTACCAAATAAATATAAAGAAGTTAATCTACTCATATTCCCCAAGGATATTGGAATCTCGCCTTGTAATTTGTTGAAAGCGAGGTTAAGGGAAGTAAGGCTACTGCTCAAGTTAAACACCAAAGGAAATATCCAAGAAGAAGAGAACTCATTTTCCAAGAGCCAAAAGTAAGAAAGAGAATTAGAAGCATTGAAAGGTGAGAGAGGAAGTACCATTGGTAGGTTACATGAATATAAGTATAAATCTTGAAGCTTAGTAAGTTGAGTTATCGTTTGTAACCAATTAGTTGCCATTGTGAGGTTAACATAGCTCATGGACAGGTCACTTAATGAATGAAGTCGAGAAAGCCAATCAAGATTTGTGCTAGTTAGTGAACCATCTTCAGATGAGCCAAGATAAAGAGAATTCAATTTAGAAAGGTTGCCAAGATTATGTGGAATTTCTCCGCGAAAATTAGAATAAGAGAGATCAAGTTACTGTAATCTACCTAGGGAACGTATGAATTGTGGAATTCTGCTATAATTGAAATCATTTTCACCAAGGTCCAGATATTTCAAATGTTGTATTCCAAGCAATGAGACGCTAATGTTACCTCTTAGCTGCATACTACCAAGATCCAACTCGACAATATGATTAGTTTGATAGTCACAACTGACACCACTCCATTTGCAGCAATCCTTCTTATATTTTTCATTCCCCCAAGAAGAGAGAGCGATATATTCATCAATAAGCTCATCTTTGAACTTGAGAAGAGCTTCTTTCTCCTTTTCTATGCACCTGATGCCATCTTTCATTCCTCTAGAGCGTTCAAAAGTGGCTCACTCAGTAGTAGTACAATGACTAACAATTGGAGATGTTGAAAGAACTTTTGATCATCTATCATTTTGTGAACAATTGTAACTAAGAATTTTTCAATTTTTTTTGTGATTTTTCACCATTTAAGCGGACTACTTATAGCATCAGTTGTAAGAATGAATTTGTGTAGAAAGCTACTGAAAAGACTATTCATATCAGCAATAACTCATTAGAAAAATGTATTGACTTGTCAAATCAAAGTTCCAACTATTAATAAT